TCACACTATTTCTGAAAAAAATAATTCAGTTTCGGATTTTTTTTAATGTTAGATTCTGATAAAACTTATATCAGAAAATGTATGAAATCAGATTAAATAAAATTAAATATGAAATTTATAATTCTGTCAGTCAGTCTAACTGTGATAATATATATTAACTAATTTCATATTTTTTAACAGTTTCAGTGTAATTAGAAATCAATTGTATATTTAAATTATTATTTATTATTTATATAACTACTTTATAATATATGTTATAAGTGTTTTAAAATGAATGAAAAAATGAAAATTAAGCAGATATTAAGTGTAAGCAGATGTTAAGTAATTAATTATATTACTTAGTAATTTTTCTTTTATTATATATTTTCTTACAGTTTTACTTAACTTATAATTAACAAGCTTTACATCTTTTATCAAAATTAATATAATAAGAAAACAGAGACAGTCAGACAAAATTAATAATATGTGTGTAATATATGTTAGATGTGTAGTGAATGTGTATTTTAAAGAGAGCAACTTAAGTTGAACATGTGTTCAGAAAAGTGGGTTAAAAGTTGGCACTATGATCACTTTTATTGGCACCACATTCAACTGTAACCCATCAGTGACAAACCTAACACTTTCTTCTGTGTCTCGGCCAACAAAGCTTCATGGCAGAAAGAAGCGTGTTTCAAGAAAAACGTCACAGCGGAAGGCTTCCAAGTTTATACGCGTTTAGAGAGTATGGAGGGCTTGCGGACAGTTCAGCTGTCAATGAAAATAATATCTGAGAGTACCCTTTCGGATGTAGTCTGCAACCAGTGACAAGATAGTTAGTTACATACAACAAATCGAAGGGCGTGACAAGCGAACTCGAATAAAAATATGGAAACGAGGGGCAGAGTTAGGGCTGGTCCGAAATACGGTGACACACATTTGCAAAAAATGACCAGAAGCAATGTGTATACGCTGTACTGAGTTTCAAATACAAAGCAAAAAAGAGTTCTTCTTCTTTTTTGCGCAAATACCCACATCATCCTAACCTAAACCGCGGTAAGGTGCTTGGCCAGGGTTCCACGGTAGGATGCTTGGGCTGGGTCCATGATTTCCAGCGCATGGAGCTTTTTTGGCCTTGGAGGGTTTGAGTTCTGCTAACCAGCTTAAGTCCGTGGTGATATAATCAATATGTAAAGGCCTTGCTCTCCCTCGTTTTTGATATGTTTCTGGGAAGGAGGGCACAGCTGGTTTGTTTCGTTGCTGCCATTGTCGATCTTGCTTTGCATATCATATATTTTTGTATACTATATATATACATTTCTTCCTTCCTATTAACTTTCTCGGCAAGTTGCTGATCGGTTGTCTCTGTCATACTTGTGCTTTGCAACCCTTCTACTTATATCTTAAACCCCCCTGGTTCACTCGCTCCCTATTATTATAGCCAGCGCTCTCGAAATCGAAAAATAATAAATATCTGCGAACTCATTATTATATTGAAGCAAGCTCCCATTCTCCTCCTCGTCTCGTCCCAAGCTTCTCCAAAGTAACTTATAGTACCGCAACCTATATATATATGATCATTTCCGGCACTGTACCTACCGTCCGGTCTGATATATGGGCGGAGCTCTCACTTGCTATTAGTTTCTAGATACATATAATCTAGATAAACGTCGTGTCGCATACGGTCCATAAAGTCCCTCGAACACTAAGTGTTCCCACAAGCGCGAGATCATCAAAATTCCAAGTTGTGGGTGCATGGTGTAGATTGGCGCAAGCTCGCGGTGCCCGGCATCGAGATATCTAGTTCCAGCAACCCTGCGCGCTCTGGCGCCATATCATAGCTTAGCCTCCATTCGCAATGACGGCTCACCAGCCAAGTCCCCCCGTGGATGCTTCGTCTCCGTCAGAAGGCAATGTCCGCAAAAGAGTGTGCAAAGCCTGTGACCGGTGTCGCCTAAAGAAGTCAAAGGTAGGTCCTACCTGTTTCTCAGGGTTGGATGCGCCTGTTATCATCACGTGCTGAAATCTAGAGGGATTTGACTACAGTGTGACGGAGCAAATCCATGCGGGCGATGTAAGACGGATAATGCGATCTGTGTGTTTGGAGAACGGAAAAAGGTGCATGACAAAGTATATCCTAAAGGGTGAGCTTGATTTTCACCCTCCAGTCATATATTTTTTGCATTTTGGAAAAGTTTAGGTGGTTCAATGAGCTAAACATTACTATGCTCTATTTTTATAGATACGTTGAAATGCTAGAACAACAACAGGCACAGCTTGTTGCTGGCCTCCAATCACTCTATAAGATGATGTTGGACGGAGAAGAATGGCCGGGCGACCCCCTCAAGGAATCGGGAAATGGACACCCCCTTACACACGACATTCTAGAACGATTAGGAGCACTTAAGCAAGAGGGTAACTCGGGCGATGAGCCATTCGAAGATGATCTACAATTAGCGCAAAAGAAGCTAATTGCGAATGGTGCTGGATTTATGCAACGGCAGGACTCAACAAGTGGTTCGGAAAGTGAGCATTCGCCAATATTCCCCTCGAGACCGTCCTTGTTTGAAACCCCGTTTTCGATGAATCCCAACCAACTCCCACCTACTCCTCCGAGCCCACGCACTTTTCCTCCCCGAGCACATCAAATATCAGATCAAATAATGGAAGGAATGTCGCAACACCAGCAACACCAGCAATTCATATTGCAGCATCAGAGGCAGCAGCAGCAACAAAATAAGGATAATCTCCAGCAGCGCCAGCAGGCGATGCGGCATCAACGGCAGCAATTCCAGCAAAGACAGCAGATGGAGATCCACCGACAACAGCAAAAACACCTCCCGCAACCGACAATGGCTCCGCAACGGCTCTCACAGGTCCAAGCTACACAAACTCAAATGCAAGTGCTTCTCAGTGCTCCCGGGGCTCCGCCATCTATGAACCCTAGTCTCCTTCAGCGACAGCAGTCATGGTCACAAGGAGGGGGTCTAGATGACAGTATGGACATTTCGCTCGATTCGCCCCTAATGTCATTTGACACGCCGCAACAAACGCAAGCGTTTAGTCGGCCGATTTCACTTACTGGGGGACTTAATTCGTGTTTGCCAATACAGCCAGACTGGATGGAGGATGCTGACTTTAAAGCATTTTTAAATCCAAGTGCTACAATGATATAGGGGGGAAAAAGAAAACCGACAAATACAGGCCTAACTCCATTGACTTGTAATTTTTCCCCCCTTTCCACTTCTTTCGCTTCATAATGGTTTTACATAATTATTATTACCATCTATGTTCGTGCCCGAATAGACCCATTTTGCTTCTCTCTCGCTTTACTTCTTGCATGAGCGATATCCGATCTCATCTCTCAACACTAATGACGACAATGAGCTACATTGATTGTACTACCCTTTTTCGTTCATTTTTCATTTTTGCATGAGACCTTTTCAACCCCTCAACCCATTCCCCTCCCAACCCCCTTTCCAACTATGTAATAATCGACACACTTTCCCCATGCGCAATAATCTCCGTAAGGGCTGGAGGAAGATTGCGGGATCATTTGACTTTGTCTATCTATCTAGCTCTTTTCGAATTCAACAAGAAAAAGAAAAACCTAAGCTTGAATATCACGCTGCACAAGCTCCTTCTCTCCATTGCTTGCGGGGAGAAACAAAAATGGATATGGATATGTAACTCCTGTCTACCATTCAGTCCGATTCCATTGCGGGGTATGTATCAAGGGAACATTTCAATCAAGACTGATATCACCTCTCGCTTTGTTTTGAAAATCAACCCTTTTGAGCACTCAAAGGTTCCCTGCGCTGTATGGTTTTTTTCTTTTTCTTTCTGTGATTTGAATATTAACTGCCAGCCTTTTTTTTAATTTCCTCTTTGGCAAATCTTCGAAAATTCTTACGCGTTTTCAGTCCTATTTTACAACCCCTGTAATCTACGTGTATATATATCTATATATATCTAACCTAATTAATTAATCAATTGGCGAGTTTATGGACGTGCAAGATCGAGTATAAACAACTGATTGAAGGTGGTAGTAATAAGTAATGACCCAGCCCCCAACTTCCCTATGTACACAGTGACGCTTGCGTATGACACGTGGTATAATTTCAGATATTCTACAACACTTTTTTTTTTGAATTTCGACAATTTGGCCTGCTTTCTTTTTCAGATAGTTAGTTACTAAAGTGAGATGCAGCTGATGAGTATGTTGAAAATGAAACAACTATCACTAGGTTACTCTGATGCGGTACTTTGCACCCTTCTATAAGCTAGATAGAGGCTGGGAGAAGTAGCTGTGACAGCATCGCCCATTTTGCACTCTATATATTTCTGTTAGGGATGCCAGGGTTAGAGAAATGAAGATAGATGATAGATAGGGCTTGCCAAAAAGTTTAGTATGGCGAATGATCAGTCCGCAGGCACAAGTAATAGGCACAATGACAGCTGCTAGACATAATTCCAAGGAAGAATATTATTCTCTAACTGCCTGAAGATGATACTGATTAGCACATACATAGGCCACCTGAGGTACCTACTTTTTCTCTAGGTTCTAAATCAATTCATGTATGTACTGTACATGTGCCTTAGCTTTTCATGAAATCAAATAGTATACTTTCAAAAAGTCAGCAGAAGGGGGTTGGAAAAGTTTTAAAAATTTCGAGCGTGCCATTCAGGTGCCCAACAAGGCAAATGTTGAAAATATATGTGAACTTGCAACTTGGAGTGGTTGCTCATTGTGACGCACTCAGAAAGCGCTTCTTCATAAACTTGATATGTGCAGAGGAGGAAGTACATGCGGTGCGGCTCAAAATGCAATGAGTCGGAGAGCATGTGATGGAAAAGCCCTAACTCAAGCTTGCCAACCCATCATTCATAACGATACGGAGTCGCAGCTTGAACATCAAAGCTTTTAATAATACTGTTATCTGTAGATTTTTAAGATAGGCTATGAGTCAAACTGAACGCTGTTGAAGCTTTGTTATTTATGCATCATAGTTGCTACAAACTGGGGAAATTCTTGACCTCCATCCCATCGACGGACAACTTAAATAGTTATGCATGAACATTATTAGTTTTACCTGGTCGGACCCCAGGGTAACTAGTTAGTTAAGCCAACAAACGCAGCCAATAACCTACCACCAACGCAGCTTGGCGGGCAAGGTAAGCTGGGGGCATATATGAAAAACACAGGCGGAAGCATAAACTATATGGAAGGAGGCTGTGAAGGAGTTGGATTTCATATCATAAAGGTAAGTTAATAGTATCTTTCTGTATGTGTGCCTACATCATAGTTGGGTTTGCGCTCGTGGCAATCAATCTTTAGGGAACCTTACGACACTTTCGAATATCCTGTTTCCTTCCCGGCAGGGTAACTAAGTTACAGTGCCAGTGGTTCCCTACGTAATAGCAGTTAATTTCAGCAAACCATCATCCCCCGACCTCCCAAGTTCTCCCAACTACCCTAAACTTGCCTGCCCATCAAAAACACAACCTATTAAATATGACATCCTCTTCAGAGGAATCTGCATTCACCTTTATTCCACTGGGTGGCATTCTCCAGGAATTTCGTGTTGCTGGCAAGAACATCGTCCTAGGCTTCCCCACCCAGGAGCATTATGCCAAGTATAACACTGCATACTTCGGCGCCACTATCGGCCGCACAACAAACCGGCTGAAAGACTCAGTCATTAACAATCTCAATGGAGAAACATACACCATTACAACGAAACAGGGCCCGAATTCATTGCACGGGGGGAAGGCTGGCTGGAGTTCCAAGGTCTTTGACGGCCCGCAAGCTGTGTCTAAGAATGGAAAGGAAGGTTTGGAGTTCAAGTACCTAAGCAAGGATGGTGATGAGGGCTATCCGGGCACAGTGGAACTGAGGATATGGTATACAGCTGGCAAGGAGGCAGGGGGGGAGGGGAAGCAGTCCAAAACTGTCCTGGAGATTGAGTACGAGGTTGAGTTCGTGGGAGATGAGTGCGAAGAAACTGTGGTGGGAGTTACGAATCATACGTGAGTGGACAAGTTTCTCTTGATAATTTATTCATCTGACGACACACGTATCGCTTCTTTCATTTGCTTTTTTGAAGAAAATTAATTTGCATTAAATTCATATTTGCGAAGAGGATACCTAACTAATACGACTTTCCGCACAGTTACTTCAACCTTGGCGATGGGCCGACGATCGAAGGCACAGAAGCAGTTTTGGCCACCGACAATTATCTCCCCATAGATTCCACAGGTATTCCCCTCGGTACAATAGAGCATTACAATTTGACAGAGGTTAAAAAGCCTTTCTTCCTCAACGCAACTTCCCCAGACATTGACGACTGTTTCGTGATGGATACGGACCCGGCCTCAATACCAGTCGACACTCGATCTCGACCACTGCGTCTAAACGGAGCATTCAAACACCTGGTCACAGGTATTAATCTCGAAGTCCATTCCACGGAGCCTGCTTTCCAGTTCTACACTGGAAAGTTCATTAATATCCCCGCCGTTGGAGGGGCACCTCCACGGGGACCCCGGTCAGGCTTTTGTGTGGAACCCAGTCGATATATCAACGCACCGAACGAACCCAATTGGAGAGGGATGAGTGTCTTGAAGAAGGGGCAAATTTGGGGGTCCAAGATTGTGTACAAGGCATGGATGGAGTAAAAAAAGAGAGAGTGAAACCCTCAAGGTTTGGCCTGCGAGAATTGAGGTTGAGATGGGCACTTCGCCTAAGTTCTTACGCGACGTGTCACTTTACCGCAGAGTTACTCCAGCTTTGCAAGATTGTATGTGCGTTAGTTACTTAGAGCTTTATGGCTGCTTCCTCTTGACTCGGTTTCTATGCCGAGTTCTCACGTCCGCACCTCTCATGTCCAATGAGAAACGGAGAACCTATCCCGTTTTTGGCCTGCGCCAATTGATACCGAAGAAATGATCTTGTTTTGCCTGTAGTGCGATCCTGTTGCTTGGATGCCCAATGCACAGCATCAATATTTTCTTCATTTCCAGACAAATTCGACAGTCCTCCAATCCCGAGACAGCTCTTAAATTTTTTTTCAAAAACTATTATCCTCCCAAGGCAACTTAACTGGCAGCCCGGCAGCAAGTAGACCAATTACTTTTTACCTAACCATTCGCCGTGGTTTCAATTTAAAGCATGTTGAGTTTGTGAAACCTGGCCCGATATGAAATGAAATATACCGCCGTGCATCATTTATCGCCCCAAACTTTGGAGCTTTCAGTTATCATTGCAAATAATAGATGGAGAGCTTGCGTATCGTAATGGATGTCAACTATTGGTCTTACCATGATCTTCTTCCTTTACTAAGTGGCGGTGACCATTGACAATGAGTTTGCAGCGACGTACGCCTTCATGGAAGGGCTTTCCCCAAGGCCCCGCCCACTGCACTGCCATTGGTAAGCGTAATGGGAGGTTAGGTGGAAGGTCAAAAATATCGATGGATGCACCGGAACAAAAGATTTTCCCGCTCCGGCTCCAGGTGACCGACGAAACCCTAATTATTTAACGGAGAACTCTCTTGGATCCTTTTCGATAATATTCAGAGAAATTTCCCTTATATAAAAGGCTTTCGAATATGCTTTCGCCTTTTATTACTATCTCTTACATGGCACTTCTGGCAGCTTGCAAAGTGGAACGAGTTGACAAGAGTGGTTTGCTTCGTTGTCTCAAGATGGCTGGAAGCATTCAAGTTCTTTCTGGGTCCAGTCGTCTGACTTCGGCTGCAATTCTGAAGGATTAAAGGAAAGGTGAAAAATGGGTGCCCTATCGGATTTCCTGCTCCCTAATGATTATTTTTCAATAATAATATACCAACAGAGAGCAATCCTACACACCCGAAAACCTCACAATATCATTGATATTGCACTTCGCCAATTTTTGTTTCTGTTCCTCAGTAACGCTATTTGTTTAAAATCAGGATATTGTAGCTCGCGCCTAGCAGGCAAAGAAATGAAAATGGCTTCGCGGCTACATTTCATATTATGTCCATTTCCAAAACGGTTTTCTTTAATCTGTTCAGTTAACTACGGCTTGAAAGGGCCATTTCGTTAACTCCTTCATCCCGCTATGGCTTTGTTCATCGTAAACAAGGCCCTCGAACTTTAAATACTTCATCGTCTACCCACAACTCTTTTGTTCAATCCCTTCTCTTTCTTTAAATGATATACGGGTCTCCATCTAGATCCATGAAAAGTCCGTTAAATGGTAGTGTTCAATGAACAAGCCTCCCCCTTGGCTCCTGGACGAACACATCGATGAAAGAAAGACACCTCGAGAGTTCTATTTTGAAACTGACAGCATGATCGCGCCAGCGATGTGTATTAGCATACTTGATTTATTATTAATGGACTGAACCGTGCCCATCGTGGAGTTTCCACAACTGTCCAATTTTGGCTTCTTAATATTAACATTACCAACTGCACATCTCTGGATATAAGCACCTAGATACGTGATTCCCTTTCCAGTCCAACCCTTCCGCCGCGCACGCTGAACGTTGACTTTACATCGCAACTCCATCCTGCATGTACCTTGCACGTTTAATGATTGATATTGAATACGAAAATCCCCTTGGAGAAAACAAAACCCCTCGAGCAATAGGTCCCACTTGCATCGGACGCACTATATCACAAAAAAATAAAACCAAAAAAGAAAACCAGGGATCGAGGACGACGAATCCAAAATCATGTGCTCCCAGTTTTACAACCACCACTCTTGCGGCCACGCAGTATTCGTCCGGACAAAAACCTGCGGATTGAAACAGTTCTGCCCCTTGATCAAAAAGGAACACATCGGCATAAATTACATGTGCGAGCGATGTGCTGCCAATATTCTATTAGCCATGAAGAGAGACTTGACTGCTAGCCGCAGCAGCAGCAAATCAGGTAGTCGGAGCCCCAGACGCGCGGGCAGGTCAACATCGAGATGAAAAAGGGGTTTTGGAATTGTTAGCGGAGGAGATCTGTTTTCATTGCTTACTTAATTGGCTTTCTTTGCTACTCACGAATTTACTGGCATTAAATGGTGTTTTGGATTTGTTCTTTTCATCCTGGGAGGAGGTCGTTTGCTTTGAGGAATTTCTTGATTTAATTACTGAAATGAAGAGTGGTGAGGGATCGAGCCTGGTTGAAAGAATCACAGAGCCATTCCCCCGTGATGAACTCCATTGTCATAACGGTTCTTTTTAGCTTTGCATATACACTGTATGTATGTATGTATGTATGTATGTACATACAATAGTACAAAAATAGAATAAGCCCAGCAAACAATAAAGATTTAAATGTCGATAGATAAAATAGCTGTATCTCTTGCAGGTGTTTCTTCGCCAATAGTTACTTGTCTCAATTAGCCCCCCAAAGAAAGAAATTCACATATTTCTTCAACCAACTTCAATCTGCCCTTGCCAACTTTTCAATCCGATAAATAAATAAGTCTATAGGTGAACTAGCCGCTTCCAACCAAGATAGCCACGATAGATTGGTACAAAATATAGTTAGGGTCAGTTAGCGCATACAATCTCGAGCCCGATGATAATCAATCAGATATATTTAATGTCTGTGGTGAGTGCTTCGGTGTTCTCGGACTCCATGACCCGAGCCGCCCTCTTGGCTGACATGCAGCAGAGAGCGCTCCAGAAAGAGAGCAGGCTTAGAAACCAGTAGATAAGGCTTTCGGTGAATGAACAGCTAGAAATACGCATTGTATTGGCTTTTATTTCAGATATGATATCCACCGTTAAATAGATGCGGTTCTGTCGTATTCAGGATATCCACCCGAGAACTACCTACTTCCATGAAGCGAACTAGCTGAGATTTTACTCCGGGGGCTTCTTTCAATATGAAATTACGTCATGTTCTCTTCCTCTCCTTCCATTGTTCTAGACAAACGGCTTTCATTCGCGCTCGTCTCTTTTCTCCCATCAGTTCCGACAGAACCTACTATGACTTCTAATGGAGCGCGGGAGAGTTTGCTCGATTCCACAATCCAGTAGATATTCAGCCCTGGTAGGGTAGGAGAGCCCATAGCCACAGCCTCCTTTCCGCCCGTCTGTGCGGGTATTTGGCGGACGAGTCCTTCGCTTCTTACTAATTTGAAGGACTGCTATACCCTTCCGCTGCATGGGGCATCTGACTCTCAACTCGCTGCGTTTAGATAGAGGGCGCAGCCTCGCAGCAGCACCAGCGAGAATCATCTCTGTAAGTAGTGGCATTGTGGATGTCCTCGTGATGAAAAAGATGACAGTGGCCCCCGCAACGCGAGGCAAATCCGAGTTCGAAGATTTGAGGACCTTCTAGAAGCTCCGGGGCTTGAGCTTGCTTCGGCTATGTAGGTCAAAATTTCAGAACCACGGCAAGAAACCAGTCTATTTCCGTACTCAAGCGCATGTTGTGAGTTGACGTATACTAAGCTTTGAATGGAGATGCAAAGTTCGACATTGATTTCGCGTTTCTCGGGTTCCAAAATTAGCGTCTACTCTGTTCCCCCAAACGACGATTTACCAAGATGCATACGTCTCCTGTAAGGAAGGGTAACGTCAGGCAGGACACATAGAGAGCTTTTCTCCAGGGCTCTGTTTCGCGATCTTATCCCCTTGCCAACTGAGGGGAGAGCAGGGTATTTCCGCGCAAGAAGGTAAGCATCAGCCACAGCTGAATTGGCGCTTCCCAGCCCCATCTACCTCCAGAACTGCAAGGAAATCAAAGCTGGACAAGATGGAAGAAATCTTAAAACGTAGTTTCGATGACTGAGTGCTGCTGTCATCCATAACGTGTCCAATAGAACCCCTGAACCCTCGAGGCTACGAAGAACGATGCACGTTTTTTTCCCAGAACCCACACTAATAAGTTAAAAGCCGAGACCGCGTTCTTGGAGTTCAGGCAGAAGCATTTTCCATGTACCCCTTTAAATTAATGACCAAAAACGGACTTTGCGCCCGCGTCTTTCATAGGGACAACAACACATTGATCTGGCTGATGGTACGCAAGCAAATGAGGCTTGCTTCTCAGCATATGAGGATGCAATGCAATAATGGAGTACGGAGTAGTTAGTGGTCAAGAGGTGACAGGTTCGGCCGGTCTGCTCGGTCGTATTCGGGGTCGGTGTTCGGCCAAGAGCAGCTTATTGAAAGCAGCATGGATTCGTTTATGCTCCTTGAGGTTGATGTTGAATATTTTTGTGCGCGGGTATTTTATTTTATTTTATATGATTTTTTCTTTTTTACTAGCGGCGGCGATTTTCGCAAATACAGTGTACGGTACGTACAGTATGTATGGTACTGTACATGTCCCGAAATATATAACGCGTACTTACCGTATTGTATTTATTACGGATAGCGGAAATATATCGCAGCTGGCAGGCACTCTTCAATGATTGCACTTCTTGCTCATTTTGAATGTGCAAGTACGGAGTGCAGTGCATTGTCCACAAAAGTGTTTCAGTCGTCGAGCTGCAGGGATACACTAAGAAAAGAGTGGCTTCTTCCCCGACCCCAAGGGAATTCACTTCCGTTCCTTTTACTAACCTCAAGATATTTAACCCCATGGGGATATATTCTTTGTATCTGAGATACTTATATTTTGTTGAGATTCACATGGTTTCTATCACCATAGATATGAAAGATTGCAACAGTTTGAGGCATCTGTTTTTCAACATGGCACCAGCTCCACTCTTCTCTTCACCTGGAGTTCAGCCGATTCAGCCTCAAGCTGTTCAGAAGCAAGTTTGAAGCATTGTGAGATTTTCAGGCTATATACTTCACCGCATCAGAGCATGCCGCAGAATGGCCGGTCCAACGGCGATGTATCGTTCACCCACCCAACAGCCGTTGCATTCAATCCAAGTGACCCCTAGGGGTAGAACATCTGCTGCATCTCGGTCCGGAAAACGAATAGCTCGAAGCGTTCCCAGGTCAATCTACTCTCACTTGGCGTTGGAGTGCCATCAGTTCCTAATCTCCAGCCAACCGTACCAATCGTCCTTCTCCATCGTCGTCATTGGATGATGTTGCCGTTCAAAGAGAACCTTACCGCGATTAAATTAACTGCGTGGAACAACCCTCAAACCTGCAATAGCAAGTTAATGGAGTTGGAAAGAAAATCGGTGGTATAGAGCCGTGTCCAGCACATCCCATTCCAGACCTGTTTCAGGGCCTGCGATGCTTCATGCTCGCAAGAGCACCCACCTCCGACCCTTGCCCATTCATGGAACATGCATAATCTACCATATTGGTATTTATATACATACCTCGTTCACAGCGGTTTATTGGTCCTGCATCTCAGAAACCGAATCTGTGATGACTTAGAGTGATTCCTTAAAAAAAAAAAAAAAAAAAAAAAAAAAAAAAGGGCCCTACAACTGTTATCATCCCCGACGAGGTGTCATGATATAGCTGCACGGAGCTTACAAGCTTGACAGAGTTAGTTCGCCCTGTCAAAACCTCGGCATGCATGCAAATACAGAAAAGAACAAAAGAGCCGACATTCGTGACTCAGAACTGTTCCGAGAAAAACCGAAGCTCTGTCATTTCTGGTGCCGGTCAACCGTTTGGCACGAAAAGTCGGAAACGTACATAGTACGGAGAGTACTTGAATCTTTTTTTTTGCGAGCAGTGGTGGTGGAATATAGCGCACCCATGTGATCGTCTAAGTTTGTCAAAACTACGGCACACGGCACGCGGCACACGCATGCCGAGAATAATATGGAATAATAATGATCATCTTCAAGGGACACGGATAGTTTGTAGCATATCTGGTTCATCCGGTGGGGGTGGGGCGGTGGCCTCTCTCCGCCAAGTTAATTTTGTGTTTTGCAAAGACATAAAAATAAAGGAGGAATAGGGGGGCAAAAAATTGGGAAAAAAAAAAAAAAAAAAAAAAAAAAGAGTCAAGATATATAAGTAAAGCTCGCATGTGGCGCATATATTAATATTGATATCTCATAGTCTTCCTACCTCGCCCAAGGTCTCTACTCAGTCGAGCTCGAACAAATCCTTGTCGGTATCTAGAGCCGTCTATCAGAGCCGCACGGTGGCTGCAAAAAAAGTGCAAATCCCAAAAATGGAATTAATGCTGCACTTGTTCCTCCCTCCCGCTGTCTCTGTTACACAATACTGTTTGTTGATCGTCCGTCCTCGGGTCGGCATCCAGCGTGTGATATCCGTAAGTTAATGTAAATGAGCGAGATTCCCTACTGCCTTCGGATCGGAGACGGAAGATCGGGTGCTCAAGATCCCGATACCCGATGACAAATCCCGAGAAAGCCCCGCCCAGCCAGTCCCGTGACCAGGAGCTGCGGAAGGACGTCAGGATGTTTTTGGCCGCTATCCTCAAGACAAAAACGGCTATGAAGCGTCTGCGTTTGATACGATACAGAAAGAAAGAGAGATCGTCGTGTCTGGGTTTCTTTGACAGCTGAATAATCCCCGCCAATCGCCTCAATTGCAACCAGTCCAAATAACTTAATCCTACGGCCTTTAACTAACCAACAGCTGCTGTCCAAGCCATCTGCTATCATGGCGTCATTGCACGGTGACCTCAGCCATCTTTTACCACTCAATTTCAAGCACACGATTACTGCTTGGCTGGAGGAAGATTGCCCCAGCTTCGACTATGGTGGGTTCGTCGTTGGAGAAGCTGAAGGTGAAGCTAAGCTATTGGGAAAGAGCAAGGTATGAAGATGCCTTTGTAGAAGTGGCTTTTTTTTTTTTTTTTCCATTTTGACCCGCCCACCCACCTACACCAGGAGCAGAGCAAACTGAATTGGGGGTTCAGATCATAGTGGAAATTTGATTTATCTTTTTTGTTGCAACCTGCGGTAGTAGTTGTTGCATATATGTTTTAAGACATTGATGCCGTATGCATTCGAATGCCATTCCCCTAAATGATGCCCCCAAGGTCTCAGCGCTCAGCCCCTTCAGAAGTTCTTGCTCCATGAGCAAAATGAATAAATCGACTCTTAAGGTCGAAAAGTGACCATATCTGAAGAAATATGTTCTATCCTTTTGCTCATATTGAATATCCTTGTCTTTCTAAATCGCATCTCTCGTTTGACTCTTTCTCGCATATTACTGATTGGAATTTTATACGATAAATTTTAGGGCGTAGTAGCAGGTGTGCCTTTCTTCAATGAAGTGTTCTCACAGCTAGGTTGCACGTATGAGCCACTTCCTCCATTGTTTTTATACCCTTCAAACCGATACCTATATGCAAACCTGAGGAACCCTATCTAATCACTTTTTCTTTCTGCCCTTTGGTTTACTAGCGTTGAGTGGAAGGTCAAAGAAGGCGAACCGATCGAACCGATCACAGTATGTGCTATCGTTCGTGGCCCAATGCGCAAAATCCTCCTGGGTGAGCGAGTTGCGTTGAACATCCTAGCACGATGCTCTGGAATTGCAACGAAGTAAACCCTTCCCCCAACTTCCCCTTTCAGACGGCCAGGACTATGGCCTATTCACAAAGAACCAGAACTAAAAAACTACTAAGGACATCTACCCTCGTCAACATCCTCCGTTCTCACTCCTGGAACGGAATCTTAGCCGGAACCCGCAAAACGACACCCGGCTTCCGCCTCGTGGAGAAATATGGCATTCTTGTCGGCGGGGCCGACCCGCACCGCCACGACCTCAGCTCCATGACCATGCTCAAGGACAACCACATCTGGGCCTGTTACAATAAAGGCCAGGTGCAGTCCGCAACGGCAGCGTCAATAGCCCAAGCCATCCCCACCGCCGTCGAGGCTGCGCGCGCCGCAGCGGGCTTCTCCACCAAAGTCGAAGTCGAGTGTCGCAGCATTGAAGAAGCCCATGCCGCCATCTCTGCAGGTGCAAATATTATCATGCTCGATAACTTCTCCGCATCGGAGGTGGCCGGGGCAGCGAAATTGTTGAAGGATGAGTGGACGGCTAAGGGGAAACCGCGCGGTTCGTTTTTGGTCGAGGTTAGTGGTGGGTTGAATGAGCAGAACGCGGCGTCATTTGCGGCTGAGGATGTGGATATTTTATCCACTAGTAGTATTCATCAGGGGGTGGGAATCGTGGACTTTTCGTTGAAGGTTTCTTTGACGTAGTTGGGCATTGGATATGACATGCTGGAGGAGATAAGATTAGAATCTTGCGGCTTGTACACGATTACATTCTCCTTCCCAGATGTATTGCAGCACATTGTCTCTGTTTGCGTGATATCAGCGATCTAAATACGTATATATTCATAATTGTTAAAAATAAATGTAGCCGAAAGACGTACAATATACAAAGGAAAAGGCTCGCCCTTATATACTTTTATTTTCATCCAAATAGTTGATAGAAGGGATGCTCCTTTTGCATTCTAAACGAGAGGTCCAAAAAAACTGCGAAGAGATGCAAAGAGAAACATAGAAAAGGGTCGGACGTCAAGTAATGGAAATAAAGGCAAAAAAGTATATAAAGCAAAAAAGGAACTTATACCCCGGAAATATATAACGAATGAGAATAGAAACTTTGAAAACATGGTTAATTGGGGGGAAAAAGAAAGAAGAAGAAAAGAAAGACAAAAAGGGAACGTGATATGAACATGACAGAGAGAGGAGTGGGGTTCCTTCCATGGACACCAGCGAGGGCGGTAGATGCAGGGGCGCCCGAATTAGCAAGCACTCCGGACTGGCAATCAGGGAAATAAGAAAAGACTTAGGAGCATTAAGCTCGCAAGAACAAATGAAATATAGCAGGTCTTCGCTCGCCAGAGCTTAAACGACAATGAAAGAAAACAAGTAAATCGGATCGTATAGAGAGCGTGCGGACTGGCCGACAAAATAGATCGGCGCCATTAAGGGAATATACCGAACATCGAGGACAAGGGGAATAACAATGAATCATGAACATGCAGTCAGCGCCCAAAAACCGTAGGTAAAAATTGAAGAGGTGATGACGATAGAATACTAAAGATATAACGTAGTAAAATATGCACAAATAAAACGAAAGGGGTGTAAACAAGCGGAATCTGCGAATGGTTGAAACGGGCCTGTGAGAGTCGGCGCGGTTGCCAGGTCAAACCTGGGTTGATACAACCAATTCGCTGGGAATATTCGATATATGTAGGCAGTAGATGATGAAAATAGTTCACTAATTTCGGCAGAAAAGCCACGTCCACCAAATTTTCTTCGACCCTCCAGGCTCATATCTGTCGTTCATATGGCCTTGGGTTTTCATTACTACGACGCCATCATCTCCTTCCTCCCTAGGCTGCGGGGGGTCGTTTGGATCAGGATTTGCCGCTTCAGATATACTCTTTTCGCGGTGGTCAGTGGATGGTGGTGACTTGTGGCTTTGGTCCACGGTATCCCGGGACTTCATGCTCCGGATACGTTTGGAGATTGCGCTCCCCAGGCCCTGCCACTGGCTTGGTTTCTGCAAGGAGCTTTCAGTTGTTTCATTATTGTTATTGTCCGTAATTTCCCTCTCTTTAGCTGTGAGGGCTGGAGTCCTTGAGTGCGAATCGGTCTGCGATGATAAAATAAGGTCAGGAGAAAATAAGCTCTGGGGTAGAGAATGAGCTGCAAGAGAGGAATGACCAGGTGTTCGTGGTCGAACGGGAAATTGTTGGAGATGATGGCGACGCCGCGCTTCGATGACGCGACGAACGATTACTAGGAGCAAGTTAGTCTCAGCCGGCATAGCCATAGGGGCACGGGCGCAATATATATATATATATATACATAATTAAACACTGTCTAACTTTGCTGATCCGATACATGCAAGATCCACTTCCCAGGGGCATTTTTGGAAGAACAGAACTTACAAGCAAATGTCTCCTCGATATTTACCATTTCCCTTGCGCTTGTTTCCATAAAGCCACAACCTCTTCTCCTAGCATATTCCAATCCCTGTCTTGCGCTCACCACCCTTGCGTCTTTCAGGTCGCATTTGTTTCCAGCCATGATCCTCACCGGTGGAGCCATGCCAACAGCAACCAGCTCTCCTGGATGACGCAAGTGGCCCATTTCTTTCATCAATCGCGCATTAGTTTCCAATCGTTGCTCTGCCTCAATGTCAATCATGTCCATGAAGTAGTCTAAAGCCTCCAATGTAGGCGCGTTTGTGATATCGTAGACGAGGAGGAATGCATCGGACTTAAGATTTGAGGAAGCCCAGAGACCACGATATTCCTCTTGGCCAGCCGTATCGGTTAAGGCAAGAAAATATGGCACACCGTCAACAGTCCGGGTGACGGAATATGAATCCTCTAGTACCACGAGCATGTATAAGCATGCTGTAAAGAAGAAATATCTTGTCTTTTGTATTGGTTTCCCTGATCACTTTTGGGCGCGAATCAAAAGAGAGAAATACGCGGTGGGTAGGAGGGATTGATGCATACCAATTGTAGGATCATATCTAAGTTGCTCCAACAGGGTTAGTGGTCATCCTCTAGCACTCAGACTAAATGCAATAATTGGGAATATAAACTCACTCATGCGTCCATTGGCTGCGCACCAATCGCAGCGTGATAGATGACTTTCCTATATCCCGGAACCAAAAAAAGCATTTAGCAATCAACCCCTAACTTATTCGCGACATTTTTCCTATCCCAACAAAAAGAATAACTTTTGATAAAGACCAAGGTCCCGATTCTTCGCCAGACTTTGACCATTTCGGGAAAGGGAAAGGAACCAATTGAGAATTCGAGAAGTAATAGTTTCGCAATTATATTGGGGTATGCAACATACCGCATCCACCATCGCCACAGATCGTAATGGACACCGTCTCCGCCATTGGTTTGCAGAACAGAAACAGAGCAAAACTGAATCTGTGGTTCGCAAACACGGACGACGGCGTCCCCCACACTCCTCGTCACCCACGCAATTCGCGATGTTTTGCAGGTTTCGGGAGCGAAGATATGTCGGATGGAGCGTTTAATAATCGACCTGCTCAATGCAGGAACCCAACGCGACGGTAATTGGCGCAGCGCAGGGTATGACAGGTCACGAATGTTACGTTTAAGTGGGCTAGAGTCTAGACTGGAGTGGAGGTTCTGTCTGGGGTAAACTCAGAACAGCTCAAAGCGGGTATGTATGGTTCATCCAGGCGCAATTGGAGAGGATTAACAGTAAAAATGAATCATAGCATAAATTTTGAGAAAATAACAGGAGGACTCACATCAGGAATAAAATAACCTCCACGTCCTGAGCCATAGTAGCTTGGCCAGGTTTTTGTTGGCGTTTGTTCCTTTGCAGAGGTTAAACTCATCACCAACAGGGTTGGCGCGCTTTGCCGTTTGTGGCAATTCGCGATCCTCCCGCGTTTCAATTATTATAGACTTGCACATCCCACATCACATCTACGTGTACCGCTTCTAACAGTTTGCTCCCTTGGAGGTGTGCTCCATCCTGCCTCTGGTGTTCCGAATCTACTGATGAATATCCGGCTGAGAGCGAACTTATATCGGTTGCGAGACTGGCAGGACACACGCTTATTATACCTACGACTGCCTCCATCCTTACGCTTATATAGAAGAATAAATAAAAGGTTTCTCAGACGGTTTCCTGAGTACCGACTTTTTTCAGGGTTTATTTCATTTTATTTTATTTTATGTAACTTTCTTGCCACGCGCATATTGATCCCATGAATCCTGAAACCCACACAGAGCATCATCTTCGGATGCTCTCAAACAACCCCCGGGGAAGTTGTGGCGAAACAGCAAGTAGCTCTGCCGCGTACTGAGTTCCAAGCCAATAGAATACCTATACATATTGCTAAATTCTCATACAGCCACCTATTGCTATACGCTAGGTCATCCTTGTGTCTCCCATCTGGATATGAAGAAACAGTCCACGCCTGCGCAGACATCCGAATGCCGTGGAACAAACCAAACATGGCGAACGCGCAAGGTTGATTCCTTTTTTCTTCTTCTTCTTCTAGCGGCAAACACAATGCCTGCAAGAAGCCGAACGGACTGGCATTTGCTCTTGATTTACTTGGTTGAATATATCCTGGCCAGGATTGAATACCTTAAATCGGTCCCGCCGGGGGGGTGATCTCGAACGATCGTCGCCCGCTTGTAGAAAAGAAAGAAAGCTATTTGCTAACCTTATGATATATAGACGCTTTCCCTACCTTGTTGGTTTCTAGCTTTTCTATCTGAGCTGAAGGGATTTAGCGACCTGACCATTACAACTCTCGCATTCGGGGAAATTTCGGTCCACGCAGCCTATTGCTACTTGCTCTTGCAATGCATCTAGTAACCTTTGTATATCAGCTCGTCCCGAATAGGAAATCAAAAGTTCCAGGTCCAGTATGTTCCCGGCTCTCCATAACGATCCAGAGATAAGATTATCTGCTCCTTGTTAGACGATAGGACCTGCGAGGCGTCCCGGTAAACTGGAAATTTTATTACAGAAATAGATGCTAGGAAATAAATGCACAAGGAGGTACGGAAGAGACAGTGAAAATAGGAAGGTAATAAAAGGGGGACAAGAGACGAATGTATATGTATATACATGTACATACATACAAAATCAAACTCTGGGACGGATACGAAGGCCACTGAAGATACCATATTCCACATGGAAACCGTTTAGTCTGTCATTATGTAGCAACGTTGACACCTCATCTCCTAATCCTATCATATGGGTACTCTCATAATGTGTATATACTCCGCATATTCAGCTTTTTAACAGCCAACATCTCAGCTTGAATTGAGTTTTTATTAATTTCAACTTTCATTCTCTTCAATCGTGCTTGTGCTTTCATTTTAATCATTATCTGTATTATAGTGGTTCCTCATGATCTACATAGCCCAGAGCAAAGTATCCCGTCACACATTAATCATGTCTTATAGTCATCCCAAACGCTATCATGTTATCGTTCATTAGTTAACAAATGAAAAAAGGGTAAAAGAAAGAGAAGCGAAGCGAAAAGAGAAGAATAGAACAGGAAAGGACAGAAGACCAGATATACGAAGAATTGAAGATGAAATTCATTATCCCCCTGGTACGCCTGACTCATTTGTCGACGTATCAGACAGCTTTCGACGCCTCGACAGGTTTTGTTCCACGCAAAGAAGATTTCCGTGGCATTGTGGTTATTCGACCATTCTTGAACTGAAAATATTAGCATTTATCTTCAATATTCGTGTGGTAAGTTCACGATGCATATCACAAGATATAGCTGGCATCTTAACAAATCACATATAACGACACTGGTTACCGTACTCACCTGCTTAGCCCACCTCAATCCGCAGCTATTACACAAATCCCGATTTCCACTTGGGCCCTTCCTCCACTCTGGCGTTGTCTTGGTATGGCATTGTGAACAGTCCTTCTCCGGCACCTCCACATCCCTTTTCCGCTTCCGCCTCCTTTTCAAAGTGGTTAAATAGTGCAACTCCTCGACGAGCAGCCTGTTGCGTCTTTTTAAATGATCTAGCTCCGTGCGCCAGTTTGTGGCGCGGGTCGGGTTTAGTTCCTCGAAGATGTTGCAGCTCTCTCTGATTGCTTTTCCCGCCGTCTCGTGTTCCCACTGTCTACATAGAAGGGAATGGTCAGGGATGTGTCCATTGTGTGTTGCGATATTGGTTAGTTCCGGTTTAAGATATGGACGCATGGTTGTATGTTGCCTTGTGTAGATGGAGGAGGACTGGGAGGTCGTGATATTTCGATTCCCGTGGTTGGGGCGAGTCAAGGCTGGAGAGGGGCGCGGGTGTGAATCTGACGCAATGGATGGCCGCATCGTTGTATTACTGTTGAGCTTCTTCCGTGTCCTCGTCGTCGTCGCATTCGCCTGGAAACTGAATATAGGCCTCCCCAATTTTAGAAGCCGAATTTGAAGAATCAAAAACGTAGGCTTCGAACTTCCGCAAGGAGTTTCACCAGGGTATATCGTGCTCTGGGCTTGTAGCAAGTGGCCTCGACGATGTTGTAATTCATGTTTACAGGTGACTCGTTTCCCACTGCGTGCAATGCCCAATGCATTCTCAAATTCTGCTCGTGAGTCGTCGCTCAGCAGATTCTGGACCCTCTCTCCCACCAAGCCTTCAGAACGCCTATCTAGGAAAGCACTGCCACTGGACGAAATAAAAAGTAAAATTCCTGAAGGTGAGATCTTTGCCCAGATCTCGCCATCGTTGATTCCACCGTTCTTCATCAGCTCGTCTCGGGACATGGCGAAAACCACCCGCAGTTTTCCAAGAAAAGCTATGTGTTTTTGGTTTCGCGTGGACTCGATGTAGACAGATCCCAGGCTTTCGAACCATGTATAGCCGCTCTTTTTCCTTCGAATACGAAAGAGAAGATTGACGACAGAACCGGGCTCACGGTCCCTAAGCTCCCTTATCACAGCAACAACGTCACTAGGATGGCAAATTGAGGAGAGCGTCGAACCATTTAGTTCCTTGGATTCGTATTCTAGAATAGCAGATGTTGAAGGCGTGATGTATATAAATACCCCAGTTGTTGACATTATGTGGAATAGGAACTCCGAGCTTCCCAAAATCGCTTCATCCAAGGAGGTTCCTAAAGGAACAGGACTTTGGCCATTAGCTCTATCGGTAGTGGTATTGCTGTGGTTTTGATATTTAAAGGGCGGGTATTTATTTTGCGAACTGGTCATGCCTCCCGGATCGTATATATTTGGTGAAAGTTCCAATCTTCGGTAGTTAACTATATACGAGCCATCTGGCAGATGGATGTTAGGAATGTAGAATGGGGGATAGGAACAAAATTCACTTGGTAAGGCAACTTACCACAATTTTTTCCCGTAACTGCCTGGGGAGAATCTACCAGATCCAGCTGAAACCCGACACAAAAATTATACTCATCCGAAAACCACCGGATCGGGACCACGGAAAGCAGATTCAGAAACGGTTGGCCTCCTTTTCGATAGTTGACCAGGCACTCTTGGACCTCGGATCTAGCATTTATTTTGCGTTTCAAGTGACGGATGGTCCTATCATCGACGGATCTACGCCTCAAAGCAGGTTCGATGATCCCTGTTGGTTCCTGAAGTAAACGACAGTCACGCCCGACTGATTCCTCGAGTGAATAGCCAGTCAATCGGCTGAATGCATCAGAAATATACATAATAGGACAATCATTGGCTGTAATTCGACATATAACAAAAGCGCAGGACATGTCAATGGGCCCAAGGTTGATTTCAGGGTTTGGTCGGGTTGCTATATAGTTCTGCTGGCAAGTACGATTAGCAACAAACCAGGTATTGGTAACACACAATGGGTACGATGACCTACTAAAGTATCTATAGCGCTCGGTTCCCTCGCAGGGTAATTAGTTGAGTATTGGTACGTGACGTTTTCAGGGAGTGGTGCTGGCAGAATACTGGAGCCATCCTGATCCTCGATTGTAAAGGCAATGTCAGGACATACTTTTAAGTCGGATACAATCCTCCCGCCAGGGTTGTTAAAATCATTTGGTATATTTGAACGGGACATCCATATGGAGTCCTGGGGTGGTACCATGTCTGGATGCTTCATCGGTTCGGGTGCACTGAATCCGTTACTAGACTGTAGGATGGGTCTATTTTGTTCGTGAGGATAATAAGGCGGTTGCGGGTTCTTGATATTCTTGCTGGGATCGGGCTGTAACAACCTTTGAGATCGGTACGGAGGTCTGTTGTGAGGTAAGTTGCGGCACCATCGCAGTTCTCTTTGCTGAAATGCCTCGGTCAACGATTTTGAATCAACCATATGAGAGTGGCTAGGGGTTATGGCCGGAAAACCTCCTGTGGCTAATGAAGGCAAGCCCAGGAAGCGGGAAACGCTTGGGTCAGGAAAAGAAAGGGCCGCTGCGTCAGGATATCCAAAGTAGTTACAAGGGTCCTCTGACGAAGGAGTTATACCGGATATGGTAGAGGCGGCGTTCGCGAGCGGATAGAAGGTAGGAGAGGTGCTGTAGAACTGAGGTGCGCCGTTTACCCGAAACCCGCCCATAATATGAGTAGAAGCATGGGATGAATCCAGATGTGTTGCAGAATCACCTGCTGATGCCTGAAAACACTCAAGTTGCATTGGCGGCGCAAATTTTCCGTATTCGAGGGGTGCTGAAGCTGCGATTTCTAACGTCACATTCTGCGGCGTCTCGTAATTCAAAGGCTGTATTGAATTTTCTCTATGCAGACCTTGACTTTTGCTTTCAATTGCGTCTCCCTCCTCCACTGATTGAGCCCTCTCAAAGTTCCAATTCCTCGTGAGATCTGCCGCATTGGAATGTAGACCTGAGAGGGAGTTATCGGTATATTGCTTCGAATAATTGACGTGCTTTTCCGAATGGTCATAGTTAGGCTGCGACCCTTCACTCTGGTCCATTGCGCCAGCGCCGATATGAGGAATCTCGTAGGGTAACCGTGTAGATGCATAAGCGGATGACATGCCGCAATCCTACCAATCCGCCGGACATACCAACTACCAGCTCCAAACGCTCAAGGCCGTTAAGGAAAATTGGCCCTATCAATTCCCAGTCCCCGCGGCAATAGGTCTAATCTGAAGATACGACTGTTAACAG